GTACATGAAAGTGGCTTCTGAATGAATGAAAATGATGGATCTCTGACAGACGGACTTCAATCTCTGAACTCGTAAAGTTCTTTTTTTTAATTATTATTAGTCATTTTCATGAATGGACACTTCCTTGTATCTGAGGCAGGAAACATAGCCTTATATGGTGTTTTTGGGGTGGTAATTATGCTAATCTCCTCTCGCGTGCACGAGCAGCTGGATACGAACAGGTGGAATTTACGCAGCTCATTTACGCACTTTTCCTGAAGATAGAAGAGTTTGTTGAATCTGACGTGACGTGTTCGTACGAACCCTTTGTACGAACAAAAGTAAGAGAAATTTAGGAGAAGAATACGAACATGTTTTTGCATGAGGCCCAATGTTCTGGTTTCTTGTCTGGAGCACACTAATGTAAAGAGCAGCTAGCCGTCATGGCTGCCATGTTTCAGAAAACAACTCTGATCTCTTCATTTCATTTCCTACCTTTTTTTTGTATCTAATTTAACTCTACAATATAAAGGGACATATAACAGTGTTAAAGGAGTTCATTTTTACTGAATTTTACAATATAATTCTTCACCTAGAGCTAATTGTTGCTATTCCTTTGTTTAAAATGTTTTTGTTAAAATATGAAATTTGCATTTTGTTGCAAATTATTTTAGCTTTCATGGTGCGAACCAAATGTCTAATACTGCATCTGAGATTGGCAAAGCTTGTCAATTTCAAATTTTCTCCAAACTCTCCAAACACTGGCAGCAGTTTGTGCCAATAATGTGGGTTTTTTTGTATTCACACGAGCTTGAAACAGCAGACCAACCTGCACTCTCACAGTTGTAGGGGGTAGGGCTTAAGTGAATTAAGCTTTTCCTACATCTCTCATACATAAAGTATGAGGAAAGTTTTACCAAGGTATTTTCTCATTACTTTTAATCTCTTGACTGTGCGAAGTGAAAAGTGACACAATTAGTGAACGTTCAGACGAGTTCAAGTTGATTCATAAAAGACTATGCAATCATTTATTTACACAAATTGAACAAATCATAAGTACACCTGATTGTGGTTTTCCTATAACAAGCTTCAAAGTTACATGAGATAAAAACTCGCGTCCGAATTTTAATTCACATCAAACTCAGATTACTTATATATAGAACAGTAAAACGTCAGTTCTGATGTTACAACCAAACAATTTTACCGGCACTTTTAGCTTAAGTTTTGGCAAATAAAGACAAAGGAGAGGATGAAAGTAAGGTTAGTGTTATACTAATTTTACTTTATCAAGAGTGTGGTTCAACCGGATCAGCACGTCCCTTCTGCACTCAGTTTCCACATGACACATCACCCGGAACACGCTCAGCGTTACCTGGTGATGGCTTCTTAAGCACCCCTGGGTAGTCACTGCCTCACCTCCGATCAGTCAGGGAACTTTTTAATCAGCTCTCTCACTGTTCCTTGGCGAGAAGGTGTTATTTCAGGTAACTTTTCGTCTGTTTCAGTCCAAGCCAGAAAGATTCAAGCTGTACATCCGGTGCCTTCTTTCAAAATAAAATCTCCCCTCGGGAGTTAAAACACACTTGGGAGGCTTGGAGCCTCGGGTGGGACATCCGGCTGTCGTGCCGCTGTCCCGGCTGTTAGATCCCCCTAATTAGCTCATGGGCAAGACCTAACGAGCCAAACTGGCTTCTCCGGAGAGAAACTCAGCTTTTTTATTTCCAAGTTTGGCATCCAGGAAGAAGTGTGTGTCACTCAAAGGCGTCCGTGTTAGTAAAAGAAGCGGACTAACTTTGGTTCCGCCCTCAGGCGTAAGATGAGTCAGAGAAAGGAAGATAAAGAGATTTGCCAGCGGTGCTAGCTCAAGGCTAAAATTCTGTGGTTGTCACAACAGAATATGATAACCTTTCTTTAGCTTTTTCTTCTGATAGACTCTAAGACAGGGGTGTCAAACTCCAGTCCTCGAGGGCCGCTATCCTGCATGTTTTAGAGCAGGGGTGTCAAACTCCAGTCCTCGAGGGCCGCTATCCTGCATGTTTTAGAGGTTTTCCAGCTCCAACACACCTGATTCAGTGATTGAATTAACTCTTCAAATTGGGCAGAAGCCTGTTAATCACCCAGCGATCAAAATCAGGTGTGTTGGAGCAAGAAAACCTCTAAAACATGCAGGATAGCGGCCCTCGAGGACAGGAGTTTGACACCCCTGCTCTAAGAGAAATCACTGCAAAACATTTATGATGATTAATTAACATTTCTGTTTTATAATCAGTTCTGAACCTTCTGTTAGTCCAGATAAATGAAAGATTTTCTCAAGAAAAACTCACAATTATATTACTGTGGTTCCCAGTAAAATAAAAACAGTGATTTATATAAAAACACAATGAAAACATGGTAATGATTTTCTCTGTGATTTTTATACCATTAATTAATCTTTTAGGCACGATAAAAGAGTAGAAGTGACTCCACTTTTCTTGTGACAGTCATTATCATGATTTAACAA